TGTGATAGTAACAAGTATACTGGATTGTCAAGTACCAACAGGCCCCTTTAGTACCATCTAACGACACAGAAACTATAAAGATCTCTTACGTACAATGTGATAGTAACAAGTATTACTGGATTGTCAAGTACCAACAGGCCCCTTTAGTACCATCTAAAGATCTTTATAGTTTCTGTGTCGGTTACGTACAATGTGATAGTAACAAGTATACTGGATTGTCAAGTACCAACAGGCCCCTTTAGTACCATCTAATGACACAGAAACTGTAAAGCTCTCTTACGTACCATGTGATAGTTAGAACTATAATGTTTCTTGTGTGTTACTCTGAACAATGGCATGATGTAATTCTCTATAGTTTAAGTATTTTTCTGGAAGTAAACAAGATCTTTGTGATATATGAAGTTCACAATATCATTTATTTATGAAACAGAAATCTACCTCAAAGTTTCACAAATTTTAAAGTTTCTTCTATGAATAATGAGAGTAAAAACACTGTAAACAGTTAAAACATTAAAATCAGTATACTACACCAATTTATTTAAGAACTTGTTTGAATACACATTTCTTCAGTGCAACCTACAATTTCTGAGTAATTGGATTAATTCTACAGATTTTATTACACGATCATGATAATTCCAAGTGAATATTTATATTATCTGTGCTACAGAATTGATGTAGATCATGTGATGAAGGTGTTTATTAGGCAGATTAATTTGTTAACCACCAATTGACCAGTTTTTATCACGCAGATTAACTTGTTAACCACCAACTGACAAGATATAATCATGCATATTAACTTGTTAACCACCAATTGACCAGTTTTTATCATGCAGATTAACTTGTTAACCACCAAATGACCAGTTTTTATAATACAGATTAACTCGTCCACCACCAACAGACCAGTGTGTATCATGCAGATTAACTTGTTAACCACCAACAGACCAGTGTGTAGCATGCAGATTAACTTGTTAACCACCAAATGACCCGTTTTTATAATCCAAATTAACTCGTCAACCACCAACAGACCAGTCTGTATCATGCAGATTAACTTGTTAACCATCAGCTGACCAGGTTTTATAATCCAGATTAACTCGTCATCCACCAACAGATC